TGAGAAGGTGCTATTTATAAGACTGAGCTGAATGCAGCTCCTCAGACTGAAGAAGTCTTTCAGATGAAAGAAGAAACGTTTTTACAAATTTTTTTTATTTTTTTTTGAACGTCCAGAAGAACTCACTTAACTTTTTTAGATATGTTCTAACTGCTAAGTCTGCGTCTAACATGTTAGCGTGTCGTATTTTAACACGTTTTAACACTCGGTGTATTTTCCTGCCAATAAAAGCACTTCTTACTCTTCTTGAAATTCCTGCTTGTGCAGAATGAGTCCAGGTCAGAGAAAAGCATACAGTAACCAACAATTATCTTTTGTTTTCCAAGGTTATCTGCAAGTCTGATGCTCCAACGGGAGATGTGCTGCTGGATGAGGCCTTGAAGCATATTAAGGAAACCCAACCTCCAGAGACTGTCCAGAGCTGGATAGAGCTGCTGAGTGGTAAGATAAGCTGTACTGACTTTGCTAACCAAACTCGTCAGTAATATATTCATTTGAGCATACAAATAACATGTCTTCATTTGAATACGTTGTGCTGACTTGTTGTATTTATAGGATCTAAATGTTCTATTATTTTTCTTTATTAACAACGGTTAATAAAATTATAGATCAGTTGGTCTAAAAGTGGATTTGGCTTTGACTTTTAGGAGAGACTTGGAATCCCTTAAAGCTGCACTACCAGCTGAGAAATGTTAGGGAGCGTCTGGCAAAAAACCTGGTGGAGAAGGGGGTTCTTACCACAGAGAAGCAGAACTTCTTGCTTTTTGACATGACTACACATCCACTCACCAACAGTACAATAAAGCAGGTATGATGGCAATGTTTTGTTTTTCTAAAAATAACTATTTGCATACTGATTACTGTCTTTTACAGAAGAGCTAGTCACACCCTCAGTTTAATTTTCAACAGGTCTGACTTCCTGTTCAAGTGTCACAAGATCGTGATAACATTTGGTTAAAATGTAAAAGAGTATAGATAATCAGCTTTTTAATTTTTATGTTGCTTGCATGAAAGAATCAAAAGAAAACATTTCTGATTTTGATTTGTTTAATATAAGCAAAAAAATGCTTTATTGTTGTATCTGGAAAAAATTGACAGTATAATTTCAGATGCACATCAAAGCAGCACTGATTTTCACTAAGGCCTGAAGCATTCGGTAGATATGAACAAACGGGTTTTGTTCATGCGTGGCCATCTGTGTGATACATTATCAAAACTTAAGAGGGCAAAGAGAAATTACTTGCTTTTTATTTATTTTAGTTCAAATGTGACCTTGCTTTGTGCAGCACGTCATTAAGAATTAAAGATTACATTTCAATGTTAAAGTAACTTTTTTATTTACCTTGGTATGCTAGCTTATCAAACCCGTCAATATTTGCTTAGATATGAATGAACAGAAACAAGAATAAAATTAGTGTATAATAGATTTTTTTTTTATCATAAACTAGTGCAGTTATTGATTTTCAAAAATATTTTTGTGTGGGAAAATTCTGTTCAGTGATGTTCAAAGATATGTTGAATGTTTTAAATGCTCTTGTAGGTCCAAATGGCACAGTCTTATCATCTTCAGGCAGTACTTCATTTTAGCTCATCAAAATTACCGTAGTGTTTATAAAAAATATTGGGGATGCACCGATCCACTTTTTCCACTTCCGATAACGATATTTGAGGTTTAGTGTCTGTCGATACCGATCTGATGCAGAAAAACTGTGCTGAATTCCATTAAATAAACTCGGCGTGCTCTTTAGGGTGAAATCCCTGGAGATGCTTGATTAAGTTGGTAGTGTTATAACTGGAAGTTTTAGTGTCACCCCCTGGGACCGTCGCTGTGCACGTATTGCACATAGCTGTCAAATGTGTTGGCTGAGGTAGTGTGAAATAGTTCCAGACGGCTGATCCTTTCACTCGCTCCATTTTGAAATCAGTGCGGTGAGTTCGCTAGCGCGTGACGTCACTCAGAGCACAAAGCATAGAATCAGCGTGAATAGATCTGCCCAGTCGTGGATCGGTCACATTGTCTCCGATACCTGATCCAGAAGTTTTTCGATATCGGGACCGATATTGGTATCGGATCGGTGCATCTCTAAAACATATGAAGCATTTGACATTATTTTACAAAACTGGACAGTGACAGATGGACAGTAATATAAGTCAAAGCTGTCGCTGGTCAGTGTGTGTCCTGCGGGTTTTATTCCAGACCCCAGGCCCCACCTCCAGCCACAGAGGCTCCCAGTTCACCCCTCCCTCAGAAGCGGTAACCCACACTATCAATAAATCAAGGAAACGTGAATTAAGTCTTATCAATTATATTCAATCAAGGCAGGAAAAAGTACAGTAACAGCGCTGACCTCTCCAGTACAATTCAACATGGGATCAGGGACCAGAAGGGCCGATGTCCCGTGTCATTACTGATTTATAGGTCCTAGACTCCTCCTTCGCAGAAGGGGAGCTCAACCTGTCATGTGTATGAGGGGACGTGACTAAGTGGGATCTCAATGGATCTAACCTTCTTTGACGTGTTAGGAAATATGAGACAGTGTTTCAAAAGCCTTTCTACGTGATGTAGTGAGCAAAATGAATTCTATTCCTTGACAGATATTGAATCCCTGGGAGAGACTTTTTAGAGTTGCTGGCCCCGTTTAAACCAGTCAGAATCGGGTCATAATGTTGTTATAATCCTGTCTCTGAGCAGCTCAGAAACCCAGGGTCAGTCTAGATATTTTATTAACACTAATTAGCTCTTACACTCAGCTGACTGCGTGTAACCTGTCATTGTGAAACTACAGTATGTACACTGTCTGACCAAAAAAAAGGCACCTCCTAGATTTAACTAAGCAAACGGGTACAAGCCTCCTTTTGGATAATTACTGCATGAGTGATTATCTTTCAGCTGGCAACAAGTTATTTAACCCCAACTGGTGCAATGAGTTGCTTCTCATTTCTTAAACAACCATGTTGAAAGACACATGGCGTGGTCGTGGAAAGATGTCGGTCTGTTTGAGAAGGGTCAAATCATTGGCATCAAGCAGAGAAAACATCTAAGGAGATTACAGAAACTATTAAAATTGGGTTAAGAACTGTCCAACACATTATTAAAACTGGAAGGATAGTGGGGACCCATCGTCTTTGAGGAAGAAATGTGGCTGGAAAAAAATTCTGAGTGATCGTAATTGGCAATCTCTTAAACGTTTGATGAAATCAAATCGAAGAAAAACAACAGTAGCACTCAAGGCTGTGTTTAATAGTGAAAGGAAGAGCATTTCCACATGCACAATGTGAAGGGAACTCAAGGATTAGGACTGAACAGCTGTGTAGCCTGAAGAAAACCACTAATCAGTGAGGCTAACTGTAAAAAAAGGCTTCAATTTGCTAGGGAGCATAAAGATTGGACTCTGGAGCAATGAAAGAAGGTCATGTGGTCTGATGAGTCCAGATTTACCCTGTTCCAGAGTGATGGGTGCATCAGGGTAAGAAGAGAGGCAGGTGAAGTGATGCACCCACGATGCTTGGTGCCTAGTCATCAATGCAAGATCTTGGTGAAAAATGAATGCAACACTGGATGGAAATGGATCTTGTGACTTTGCAGAAGCTTATCGAAACAATGCCACAGTGAATGCATGCTGTAATCAAAGCTAAAGGCGGTCCAACAAAATATTAGTGTGTAACCTTTCTTTTTTTGGTGGCGACTTTTTTTTGCCAGGCAGTGTATAACACGTGTTCATCTTATCCTCTACAGCGTCTTGTCAAGAAGGTCCAGGAGTCCGTATTGGAGAAGTGGGTCAACGATCCCCATCGCATGGACAAGCGGGTCCTGGCCCTCATTCTCCTGGCTCACTCGTCAGACGTTCTTGAGAACGCCTTCGCCCCGCTCCAGGATGAACAGTACGACCTGGCCATGAAGAGAGTCCACACTCTGCTTGAGCTGGAGCCCGAGAAGGAGAGCGCAAAGCCCAATGCCAATGAACTGATGTGGGCTGTGGTGGCTGCATTCACGAAATGAAAAACACCTGATTGCTTGGACTGAAAGATCTGGCTATGTTCTGTGTTATTTAATTGGTTGAAGGACTTAATGAGACAGACTTCACTTTAATGAGACAATCTATTTTGGTTGAGGAGCCTGTTTATACATCTATTCTGGATGATGTTTTTGGTGGTAGTCCATATTAACCTGCAGTCTGATTGGTGGTGGGCTTCACCAATGAACCCTTTGTTGGATGGGATGGAATGAAAGACGACAGACTGCGGTAACATGAGGTAAGTTAGCTGCTACTGCAAGGTTTAAAAACATCAACACTATGAACAGAGGGGTTTCTATCCGTGTGAGATCGCATTAAATCTTGGATATGATGGTGATAGTGGTCATGATGAATATGAAAATTTCTACTGGAGCCAAGTTTCACTTCTGAAAAAACTATAACCTCTGTTTTGTTGCAAGATCTGGCCACAGTCTAAAATCTGTTTCCTTTTCTCTCACGTACTAATTCAAGGATAAATGGTAAATTCCATGGCTATCGATGCTCTTTGCACTCAAAAGATCTCCTGCCTCCACCAGCTCATTCCCACTGTGTTGGGGAATTTTGCTCAACGGTTACTGTTAAAACGGACTACCTGAATGTTTAACCCATTCTCTCTGTCTTCTCTCTGAAATGGTCTTCCTCATTGCATTTTGGAGGAAGACGGAGAGATTAACACCCGAGTTCAGTTCCTGTACCAGTAAAAGTGAGGTGGCCCTTGGAGACTTTGACACAAATGAATTACATTTAGAGTAAAGAGAATTAGTTTGCTGCTTTTGCCGAGGGCCTATTCTGTGTTTGTACAACGTGGCTATTCTTCCATATTTATGTTGCTAGTTGATGCTTTGGAGAAGCTTTCCATTTACCACATTCTGCCTGGTCATTGCCCTTTTGGTTTCTGTAGCGTTTATTGTTTATTGGGCTGGGTAACTCGCTAATGCTTGAAAAATGGTGGAACCCAGGAGCTTCCCAACGACGACAAATTTAACTTATTTTTGTGAACACTTCAAAATCATTCCTTTGGGCAAATTTAAGGCTTTTGCCTACGTTTCTAAAATAATTTGAATGAAATGACTTGGATCGCTGAACATCCATTAGCCTCGGTTTTTAAACCAAAGCTGTGGGTGTTTTGACCCAAGGGCAGCAGGAGGATTCTTTAAGGGTTACTTGCATTAATAGACTGGAAATGTTTAACCAGAAAGGCTAGTTTCAGTTTAAATGTTGTTCTTTATTGTTTTTGTTTAAAGAGATAATTTCCTCACTACTATTAGAAGGGTTTAGAAGTCTTTTGGATTTTCTGGTTAAAGATCATCAGCTTTAGAAAATCGGAGGCCTCCTTTTATGCATGAGTTTCCCACGTGACTCATCAAAAACAAAACTTGACTGTACACTGTTTTCCATTTACGAAGGAAAATTGATTTTCACAAACGACGTACCAAAGGGTATGACGAGTTCAGCTCCGTTTACAGCTGAGAGACCATGCATGCTTTTTTTTGGTGGGGGGCCGGGTACTTTAACGGATGTAGCGACAGAAAAGGCTTCTATGTAACTATTAGTCATTTTACATGTACGATCTAATGAAATTCAATGAAAGGGATCTTCTCTCCTATCCTCTATAATTCTGTATGCTTCTTTTGTATTACCACACAAAATAAAGTAAGGATCCTTTAAGTGCCTGAATTTACCCGGTTTTCCTGTTCTTATTTATTTTTTGCTTTAACAATTTGCTCAGATGATTTACACAAGTTGCGCCAGGCACTTAAACCTTTTGTGCACATTTATTTACAGATAGATGCTAAGTTGACTGAACAAATGGAACTATTTGTCTTTAGTTAATGGGTTGTCATTCTGTTCTGCAGAGAAAGGTATTTTTGACTCTTTGGGGGTCGCTGCAATTAGGAACCAACGCCTTTCTCTGGAAATGGATGGGACACTTTCCATTCTTGATGAGTGGCTCATTGTAAAAGCCTTGCTCTTCATAGTTACCAGTTCTCTGATCTATTTGAACAGCTAAATACAACTACAAGACCATACCTCTAATCATTATGAAATTGTTGGAAAGAAGAATACCTTTTGGAAGAAAGACACGCAAAGCTGTTCTGGTGGACCATCATCGCAATAAAGCACCTTAAGATCTGTGTTGAGGAAAACATTTATTGTCATGGTTTAAATAAATTGCTAAGGGAATATGTCAAACGAGGCCCACAGGAATTTTGCTCTTTTTAAAATATATTTTTCATTCCTAAGTGATTCAATAGGATTGCTACCATATTGTCCCAGAACGCTTAACGCTCTACATATTTTTGCATTTTTATCAGCTGCTGCCAAAGGCAAAGACGTGCAGGGACGTTTTCACATGTAACTGTGTGTGTCTCATGAATTTATCATGAACCACTTGACCAATTTTAACAAAGCTCTCCAATAGTACATCTACAACTGAACAACACTTGGAGTCAGCCCAGTTCAAGACGGCCACCATAGCCATCTGACTTTCAAAAACATCAATAAATCAGTCGGTTTTAGAGATATTGTGCAAAAACATTGCAGTGGTTGGAGCAGTCGTTCACAACACATGCTCCCAAGTGCTTATTGCACAAGAGCTTTGCCTGAAACTTTAGCGTTTAATGTTTGACTCAATCCTGCTCATCTGTTAGCAAAATATGTACATTTGAATGGATTTTAATGAAACTCAGAAATGAAACACTGGATGTACATCGATAACTGATTAACTTTTGGAGTTGATCCAATTCAAGCTGGTCGCCACAACTAATCAACATTACCCAGCACAAAAATGATCACATCAGTCAGTACAGCTTTTGAGACTAAATTTGATGTGTAGTAGCTGAGAGTCGTTCAAAACATGCTTTAAGCGTGACATTTCGTGATGGTCTATGAGATTGAAATAAGTCCAACTCAGTCACTTCTCAACAACATCAGTATTTTTGACTAAAACTGGCATGAAGATCAATTTATATGAATTGTTTCAAGGCATGATGCATCAAAATACTTGATGTTGCCCAACAAACTGAAAACTAAATTAAGATGGGTTGAGTGATCCTTTTTAAACTAAAGGAATAAATCAGGATATACTTTTTTATTTAATCTTAATGGGAGAAAAACAAAATTGTCTCGTTCTCATGGCAGTTTAAGTGTTGCCTTTTCTATGTTTGCTCTCAGCATCTTCTTGCATTGTCCCGTCATGGGTTACACAGTTATATTTGCAGTTATATTTAGTCTCCCCTGCCGAGACTAAATGGGACATGGGATGTGCTCCCTGGACCACTGAGATCTTTAGACGGTAACCTGTAACTGTTCCCAAATCCCAGTTTTTGATTAAATGTAACCAGACCCAGAGATTCAGTCCACGCTTCCAAGATCCGTCCATTCAATGAATGAATCATTTGGTTCAACATGCTACACAAGAAGCCTGTTATTATCAGGTCTCTATAGTAAATGAGTCCCCGAGGCTCAATGGGATTAACCTGTATAAATAAAGGGTGAATATTAAAGTTTAGCATATAGGCCAAGAGTTACTACATGAACCTGCTCTGGATGTGTAAAGTGGTGTGTTGCTGCCAGGCTGCCACTTGAGGGCGTTCTCTGAAATGTCTGATGGGAGGTCTGTTCTGATCCAGTGTCTGTTCTGATCCAGTGTCTGTTCTGATCCAGGGTCTGTTCTGATCCAGTGTCTGTTCTGATCCAGTGTCTGTTCTGCTGTCAGACTGACAGAAACAAAATATTCCTTTAAATTCACCACGGCGGTTGTTTGTGTTATCTACTATTCGATTTTTCATTGTTTTTCACACATTGACCTCTTTGTAATGTGACTGTTTTTTGCCCTTCCTAACGCATGATAAGTTTTCCAGTCATCTTATGTAGTTATTCAGGCTGATTTGTGGACATAAGTTCTCCTGGCAATAACTTCAAGTGGACTGGATGAATAAATTCCCACAGTCCTTCGGTTAGTACGGTGTACACTGCATATAAGATGAACAGCTCATCTCTGTCTTCTGTTTTAGTGAATGCAAAATAATATTTTAGTTATACTATTGGAGCCTATGTGTTTCATTTTTCTCAGAAATCAGAGTCTGTTCAGGGACTGACATCAGATCTGACTCCATTCCATTCCGGTTGCAACTTGTAGGGTCCTGACCGGACTACTGTTAATGATACAAGCCAATAAGGATTTTATCCTTCTGTGCATTATCTACATGATGAAACACATTCACTAAGTACTGTGTGTGTCTGGATTACTGAGATTCAAACAGACAAAGGTTTGGCATCACAGCTTTTCCTGTATGAGTCAGCCATGTAGAATTTTAATGTCAGGGCTGGTCTGGAATCTCCAGCGTTCCTAGTCTGAAGTCTTAACTTTAGTGGGGCATTCCAGTCGATTGTTTCCAACTTTGAAATTGGAAAACTTCCATAAATGGAAAGCAGAACAAGTCTACCATCTAGAAATGTGAGGGTGAAAGTCCTGCCAACTCACCCATGCACACTCTTGTTGTCAAAATAAGGACGTTTGTTTCTGCATTAAAAGCAGCCATGATGCAGCCTCAGGCTTAGCGTTCTCTGGCCGGTCACGTTCAGTGGCATGATTGAAATTTAAAAATGTAGAAACAAACAGCATTTAAAAACAACAACCTCATACCGCCACATAGGCTTTTTGCATAGACTTTTAATGTCTACCAGAAATTAATACCAACACAAAGTGACAGTTTTGTCACAGAATACAAGATATTACTGGTATAAAGTAACATGTCTGTTTCTAATTGGCCTTTATAGAAAGTGCTCAGGCAAGCTGAGAAAAAAAATAGCTCTTTTTTAAGAATAATTTATTAAATAAATCAAATATCCTTTCAAACACAACATTATAATTTTGGCAAAAAGATACAAAATCCTTAAAGTTGCGTTTTGAGTTAAAAACAAACCCAATAGTAAATATATTATTTAATCCTTGGGCAGTAAATATTACTAAATTGTATTTTTTAATAAATATAAGATGTCCTTTAATAATAAAGTTACACAAAATAAGAATAGAATTTTAAAAATCATTTTTACGTAGTGACAGCTTAGTTCTGTTTTTTTTTTTTTTTCACATTTATCAAAGGATATGATAAAAACAGTCCACCCAACAGTTTGAGAGGACATTTAAGTGTTATGTTTAAACAACTTCTTTTCTGTGAATTGTTTTTTAACCGAGCACAAGAAAGTCCAGATCCAAGACGTGTGGGAGTTGTAACAGCATCAGCAGATAAACCTCCATCGGTCCAGTCATCCACAAGCCTCACGGTCCACCACCTCCACACCTCTGTTTCTCTGCACAGTTCTGGTCCCAGTCCAAAGTCACCAGCAGCAACTCGAACAAGACTGGTGTCCATCCTCTTCTCCCGAGGGCCAACACTTGTCCACTGAAGATGAGTCCACATCCAAGATTTCTCTGAGTTGGCCTTTTTATTTTGGTTTTATGTCTTTTTTTTTCTCCTTTTAAACATGCTTCATCATGAAGTCTCATGATATCTTATACACAGTCTTGTAGTTGTTGACCAGTATTTCCAGTAGTTTGTAACTCCAGTACAGCTGGTCTCCAGCCTGTCGGAGCTCCCGGGCGCAGAGTTCGACAGCAGCAGTGAAATCTATGGAGAGAATGTCACAACATGAACAATAAAGCTAAAAATCTACAATTTAATACAATAAAATGGTAAAGTGAGTCTGACAGAAAGCAGTTCAAAGCGCTCATATTTACCTTGGCTTGCCATTTTCAGTGTGTTCTTACAAAAGAAAGCTTCAGGTTTCCTCACTCCGAGTGTGTTTTATGCTGCTGGCTTTGACAAGACAGGGCAGGTCTACACTAAGAATAGGAAGATGAGCTTATATAGTTCAGAAGTGACGCACCTGGAATCCCCAGCAGACAGAGATAAGCTCCTCCTACTCTCAACACTTGTTTACAGTATTTTTTATGATCTCTTCTAATCAGCTGGATTACATGAAATATCACCTTTACACTCTATTCTAGCTGTACAGTTTGAACAGAGTATATGACAATATTACATATATATTGAAAATATTCAAACATTTAAAATTTGAGGTAATTTATGAGCTGAAAGCCAACTGATATTTAGGGTATGGTAAATCACATGAAACACTATTATTAAAACTCTTGTCTAGCATAATCCCACCATATGGATTATTTATCTCAGAGTAGAGCTGTTGCAGGTTTAGGAGCTGTGTTTTGACCTCAGCTGACTAGATAATAAGGAGGACATGTTCGTGCTGCTTATCAGAAAGTACAGAACACTCATATCTATTTAAGTTCTGTAAACAAAGACAGGATCATCTAAATACGTTGAGGATTATTCAGAAAACGGCGTCTTTTTATTGTGAAACCATGTGGCTCCTTTAAATCGAAACCTTTCATGAAGTCTCTGCTGATGAGATTTTGAACATGTCACAACTTGCTACATAATTATTTCCTCTTCTTCTGGGTTTGGGAAGTCCCTGAAAAAAACGACTAAAAAAAACACTCGGCATGTGATCTATGACAAGTTTGCTGAATTGTATTCACGTGTCGACAATCATGATACACACAGCATGTTTCAAAATCGCCTTTAAACTGTGACCTTTTGTAATTTCTTTTGTATAAATGAAAACTGTGCAGCCAGTAAATCACGTTTGTGTGTGAGTTTTACTCAATGACTAACTTGTGATGTGGGATTAATCATGTTTATAGCACCTCGCTTTTTTATTTATCCTAACTTATCTGCAGATGTAATCACATGGTAAAGTTTTAAAACGGTCATATGAATAGTAAAAGATATTTTTTCCATTCGGCTTCGCTCCTGTTCTCTGTTTACATCAGTGCTTCCAGTACTAAAGTTTTATATATATAACAAATTTAAAAAGCATGATAGATTGCTTGCAATCAAACAACTAATGTATTGTATGTGGCATAATGTCCACTGTTTCTAAAAAGTTAAGTAATTCAGGATTATACGCAGTGGCGGCTGGTGGAGTTTTCTCTGAGGGGGAGGGGCTATAACTCAAAATAGACACACACACATACATATACATACCATACGTACATATATATACAGTGCCTTGCAAAAGTATTCGGC